GACAGCGACTCAACAGAGAAAGGAAGACAAGTACAGTCAATGTAGATTTCATTTCGTCCACAAGACCACCGAGATACTCGTAAAGGAGGAAAAGCATATGTATTAAGGAGGAAAGTGGCTAATAACTTCCGCTTTGACGAAAGGGCTGGAGGCTATCACTGCGTTTACGATGCTTTTGTTACCCATTAATCTACGAAGTCTGTAAATCAAGTGGTGGGACTGATTTTTTATATTTTTTTATCCAGAGTTCCCGGCACGGGTATTACGTATTTTGAAAAGTGACATTATGTCGATTTTTTTTGACATTACATGCGTTTTTTGTCACATTATGTAGGCTTTTCTACAAGACGTTTACTAAGCACTAGCTGATGGACTCGTGAACTCGTTTTGTAGTTGCACGTGTTGCCTAAACGTAATGAGAATTAAGTTATCAATGATCAGCTCTAATGTGACGTAAAATCTGAGATGGCATTACTGAAGGTAACGGCAATGCATAGGTGCATAGGGTTGCATAATGAGGATGTGTGTGCTAATAATTCCATTGGATTCTTGTCTCAAATACACTGACTTGAGATTCAAAGCTAGAAATTAGTTGCGCATCCACTTTTTCTAATCCATTCTGGAAATTAAATATGCGGGCGCGGTGGTTATTTCCATAATTCTGCTCAAAGTTATTGAAAACACAAAAAAAACGTAAAAAATCGTATTTTTAACTTCAAAAAGGACAGTACATAAATAACCCGTCGGGCACAGTTAATAGAGATACTTCATTGGCAGCATATTCAGTAATGATTTTCTCACACAGCAAATATCACTGATTTTATACATATGCAGACCAATACACACACAGTCATCCAGATGCGATCTTGCTATTCAACCAACTTTCTTCTCAGAGATGAAAACTACAGACTACTCGGCTTCGCAAAACATATGCAACCAACAATGCTTGTAGTTGAGCCATTCCTCCATAGATGGACGCTCACAACGATCCTAATGAGCAAACGTGGAATGAATGTTTGCACGTTTTATAGGTGTTGTCAACAGACAATTTGAACGCACAAGATTCCGGATTCTGTCGGTTCTTGAAGATGAAGGACATCCGGTACGTGGTTCATATTCAATCGACTCTCTCCCTTTTGAAAATGTCTTAACCTACCTAGAAAGCTGAGCTCTTGACAAGACACATCTCCATAGGCCTGCTGAAGTTCAGCAAGGATTTCCGTTGCACTGTGATAAAGCTTGAAGCAAAACTTGATTGCACACCATTGCTCGAAATTGATGTTACCCATTTTTAAATTGTTTCACTAAAAAGTCGCAAATTACTCGAGCGAGTTCAAACTTGTACTAAGGCGGATCACATGCTCCCCTGTCTACCCTCCAATCCCGGTGCTTCCAGTTTTGCCAAATCGAGCGCTACGTTGGCAGTCTCATCACTTAATGTGCATACCTTGTACCTTAACTAATTATATTCAGCCAAATTAGGTACTAAGGACATCATTTGCCATTACCACGATCCTCCAGTCGTAGCAGTCGTTGGAAGAGAGGTTGCTTTATCTGTTTATAGCTGATGAGATACTTTACGTTATTTAACCCCATCACTCTGTACAAAGAGCGAGCAAGACTGCTTACCATGCCTCAACAACACTGTACATGCTAGATACAGTTTAGCGAAAGGCGAGGTGACACTTCTCTAAAAGACGACCTCAAGACTCTCACATCCATGGGTAATCTGACCTTATCTACCATCATACTAATGAAATCTTCATTCTTTCGACATTCTAGATCTAGAAGACAGACGAACTGGCCGGTAGGACCGCTCGCTCTATACCTCCTAGAATATCAATAATTCAAGAAAGTGAATATGAAGCTATACAGGGTGTAAGCGTTATGGTAGTCATTATTTAAATGGGTGATATAGGGGAGTTAAAAGAAGCAAAATGTTTCATATAACATGGGTGTCAAAACGGCATTTTGTTATTTTTGGCTCTTAGGTATTACTTCATTATTGGATAATATACTAGTAAAATGCAAACACTTAAAAAAACGGACTTACCACTAACTGTCTCAGCGCTGTGAAAGTTTAATGAACGTATTAAAAAAAATCCACTTATAAATAGGGAACACAATTTTGATAGATACATAGCTACAAGATTTGAATTCTGACGAGCTATACCGTAAACTAACAACATGTCGGAGAACTCTTGATTCGAGAACATTGTAAATAAACACGACGACGTACGCGAACAAGAACAAAACAACACGCCCGATACTCTGCTCGATAAAACGATAAAGTAATTTATCTATGCAAAGCGTTACCGTTCGCGATCGATTGCCGGTTCGATAAGAGTGATAAAAGACCGACGCGCTATTGTCATGTGTGTTTTAAATATGTAATTTAATGAAACTTACTTACTTACTGACTACAAATTTTGGCTTAACTTGAAAAAACTTAATGCCATTTATTTGTTAACTACTCAATTTAAAAACGTTTTAGATTGGATTATAAAAATTAGTAAGATTGTGCTGATTGTGGTCGATGTGTGGTTGAAAGCACTTAAAGTTGTAAGCTATAAAGCTACTTAGACAAAAATCTATTGACTTTTGGACCATGGGTCATATGAACTTTTTGACTTGTCTTGACCCGTCTATTACCCACTTCAATAATGACTACCATAACGTTTACACCCTGTATATGAAGGCACCATTTCTCCCATTTTAACAATATTGACATATTCTCGATGTTTTAAGGAACTTATCGTGATCAAAACTCATCAACGGAATCTCCTTAGCTTCTCTACGTTAATCGATGTACCCAATATTTAGGTTTCGTCCTTGCGGCTTGCTTGGATATAGAAAATATATCATTTTAAGGGACATGACAATCGCTATCAGACCAACAATTCAAAACTATACCCCACCTGTTGTTTTTCTGCTATTTTATCTAGAAGTGGTCTAAACTACAACACGCAAGAACACGAGAACATTTGTGCGTAAAAAAGGCTCATTTGTAGGCGAAAAACTAAACTAATGACACATTAATTTTGATGTAAAAGTCGAAAATCTATCCCGCCAGAGTGACCCGGCAGGATTTAAATACCTTTTCAACCAAATCCCGTTTTAGAGACATTAGGTAGATTTCTCCTAGAGGAGACCAAGTTAGATAACAGTGTTCGTTTTTATTAGTTTTTCTCCTCGACCAAGGCGGAAGAAGTATCGCTGTTATAACGAAAGTCCTGCAGAGAGTTAAAAATGTGCGAGGAGACGTATTTTCGAACTTCCTTATATATTTTGTAGAAGACGAATTAATGTCTGAAGCGCTAGCTTAGTAATAGTAAATTAGAATATTCCGTTTTCTGACCATATTGACCAGCTTAAAAGTAAGAAAGGAGAGATGGCAATTCGACGGCTCGCAGACTGTGGACCACAGTTTGACTGTTTTTTATGGGTTAACGGTACTGCGGCACCATGGCATTATAAGACGATTATCGTCCTCTCTGCTACCAGCAGCAAGGTTACGCGCGCGAAATCCTGAATGGCACCAGATACATATATAGGTCATCCTTCAGCTCAAAGATTATACCGTGAGGCGAGCATCAGTGCAAGCATTTCGTCGCAAAGTGTTTGTATTCGTAATACGAGTATTCAATAGTTTGGAGACGGATAAAGTATAAGTCATTGCACATGTTTTCTTTAGTTCTTATCAACATTTCTGTAATGATGATATTTTCAGGCGTTTATCTTGTCGAGTTCTTCCCTATATAGAGGAAGGACGCCTATTATCGGGTACCTTTTTAAAAATGTTCAGTAAAACTTTTCTATTCATTCCCAAAAGTTAATTGGTTGACATATTTATTGCTTATTGTTCCTAGTTTTGTTTTACAAGAGATAATTAAAATTAAGTAAACACAGTTGCTGTTATTCAGAAAATTCGTAAATGGTGTCATTTCCTTAAATTAAAAAAAGGTTGCCTAATATCGGGTAGTGTCGATTCCAAATATCGGGTGCCCACAACTTCTTTAAAAAATGCAAAGTAGCAATGTTAGCTATCTAAGATATTTTATTTTACAGTAAGACACAGGAGAATACAAAAAATAAAATAACTATTTCTCAATAACCAGAGAATAAAGTTCAAAAGAAACAAGTATTTATCCATCTAAACATAATTCACAAATAAATGATTTCTCCTTACCTATATCTGAGCAATCTTCGTGACACCAACGCAGACACTTCATGCATTGGACCCACTTGGATCCAGAAATATCTTCAGAGAACCAGTTGGAACAATAAAAGCATTCCACATCGACATCATCTTGGTCCATGTCGTCATCCGTGTCTACCAATTGAATTTCATCACTATCAGAACTGCTAGATGAGCTTATCTTCCTCTTTCTTCCTTTTTTTCCTTTTGGGATCGATTTTTTATTGTTAACTTTTTCCTTCTCGTTTTTTAGTTTTGATTTATTTTGATTCAGGCTAACTTTTTTCGGTGTGATCTTTTTTCTTTTTTTCAAGCTCTCTTCTAAATCTGTCTTATAAGGCGTAGAAGTGAGGATAGCTATTGAACCACGTTTACCTCCTTTTTTAGAAGCTTCACCCGAACAACCTGGCCTTGGAGACTGATGTTTTGTCTTTAGGCTAGGTGTAGGACAAATATCCTGAGGTACAACGAGCTTAGGTGTCGAAATGGGTGGTGTAGTTTCTCTTTCTTTTCTTAAGTTTTCAGCAACAGCAGGATCCACAGCAATCTGATTTTCGTCATTATCTCCTTCGACTGATTGTCTTTCATGTGAAGAATGGATGGCAAATTCGTCATCTCGGAAAATTGTCGGTTGGAATGGAAATATTCCACATTTTCTAAAACCATTCACTGCCATTTCACAACTCGCTGCTCTTAAATAGGCTCTTCCCATTAGTTCCGACATTTGATAGGAAGTTACAACTCTCCCTGGATCTGCTATAAGCCATGTTTCAATTTCAGCAGCATAATAAGTTTTGAAAGGTTACATAAAGGAGACATCGAGTGGTTGTAACTTATTTGTAGAATGGGGAGGTTGGCAGATAATATGGACGAAATTGTCTCTGGAAATGTTGATAACATCAATATTCCTTGAATGAGAATAGTGTCCATCTAATATCAAGACAACTTGTTCGGATTCGCTGGGTTTTACATGTAAAATAAAGTGCCTCAGCCAGTCTGTAAAAATGTCTTGCTGAATCCATCCCGATGGATGACATCTGGCAACGGACCCAAGGTGAGCTGTATTTAGAAGCTCAGGCTTCATATTTTTGCGGGGAAACACCAACATTGGTGGTATGTAACGACCGACAGCGTTCATACACGTTACAATAGTTACTAAAGCACCCCGTTCCGAAGCAGTTAAAGCTGCAACTTGCCTTTTTCCTTTCAAACTTATCACTTTGGCATGTTTGTGTTGTACTGTCGTAATACCAGTCTCATCAACATTATAGATTGCTGCTGGATTAAAGCCAACTTTTGGCAAAACGCGGTTGAAAAATGCTTGAACATTCTCTTTTGTAAAACCCTTAACACGGGCTGCAGAAATTCCCTGTGGTTTTCGGAAAGACAATTTTGGGTGTCTTGACATGAACGATTTCAACCATTTTTTTCCAGCAGCGGCACTTCGGCAAGAAAAAGGAGGCTTAAGCCCATTACGTATCGCTAGCTGAAAGGCTAATCTTCTTACATCTGACGCTCGGAGATCAAAATACCTTCTTTCCATTTCGAGAGCATACTCAACTAGTGCTTCTTCAAGTTCATTTGTTAAAGTAGCTTTTCTGCCTAATTTGATAGCAAGTAATGTATCAACCGGTTTTTTACTTATTACATAATCAATCAGTGTGCTTTTGGGCACGCCAAATGCTTTAGACGCCTTGAGAGTTCCCATTTCCTTGTTCTTAACTGCTTCTACTGCCCTCTTCATCGCTTCTGCATTCCATTGCTTTCTTTTTTTTGGAGGCATCTGTGAATAAACAGATGCTTAATAATTATAACTTCAATATAATGAAACAATATCTACGTCATAGCATCAAGTGTTCCTTATATCGGGTACCCGATATTTGGCATCTTTGCATGCCCGATATTAGGTAACATAACCTCAAAATATTACGACAATATATATTAAAAAGCAAATCGAAAGGGACATTTTTGTAATCCTTAGTGGATGGCTGCAAGCCTACAGAAGACATATGAACATAAAAATAAACAAAAACAGACCTACCTTTTCATGAAAACACCAATTTAGTTAACACTTTCAAAATATTCGTGGCGGATTTCACACACTTCCCGTGTTTGTGGAAAGAATGAAGGTCACAAAAACATATGAACGTTACAGGTTGCATTTAATGTGGTTCCTGTTACATGTTGCTCATTATAACAGTAGATGGCTGTAGTAGCTCATCTAATAAACCGCTTCCCGATATTCGGAACCTACCCGATATTAGGCATCCTTCCTCTATTCTGTAATTACCTATGGTTATTTTCATCGACTAAACTTATCAGTATTATAATATAAAAGCGAATTAGGCAGCCAATATTTTGCTATTATTGGGGATATAAAAAAACGTTTCATGCAAAATGCATACTTATTATATGACCAAGAGGACAAGCCACAGACCACCAGACAGAATTATCAAAATATTTCTGGATCTTGTACTATAATTTTTCATCGAAAAAAAAAACAAATTTCATCCTTACAGGACTTAGTAGTTTTTATAATCTTTCATCAACGCATGCTTATTACTTATTAAATGATTTAGCACGGTAAATTGGTATTTCTCAGAATAAACAATGTCTGTAATCGCGTTGTTGCCTAATTTACCATGATATTTGTCGTACAAAGCTCCTTGGCATCATACATCATTATAACCTCTAAATAACCAGACTCTAATCTAATCTATGAAAATATGAAGCAGTTTTAAGCGATCTACCAAGCAATGGCGTCTATACGAGGGATGTCTTTTAAGTTTTGCATATGGAAATAAAACAACACGGTAGGTAGTTTTGAATGACTTTATTGTTTTTCGAAGTATTATCCACGAAGATTAATACACATGTGCGTGCGCTCGAACCAATTTTCGAAGCACTTATTCCACTCGTTTGCTGGCAGATCCAAAACGTCATTTTTGAATGTGTCATCTGCTTCTTCTGGTGACTGGAACCTGTGACCACGCAGTCTGTTTTTAATTTTCGGGAAAGTAAAGAAATCGTTAGGACTTAAGATTACCTTACTTTCCCGAAAATTAAAAACAGACAGCGTGGTCGAAGGTCCAAGTCACCAGAAGAAGCAGTTGACGCATTCAAAAATGCCGTTTTGGGTCTGCCAGCAAACGAGTGGAATAAGTGCTTCGAAAATTGGTTCGAGAGCATGCAGATGTGTATTAATCTTCGTGGAGAATACTTCAAAAACAATAAAGTCATTTAAAACTACCTACCGTGTTGTTTTATTTCCATATGCAAAACTTAAAAGACATCCCTCGTATTGTTTCTGACTGAACAATACATCTGACATCAACGCGGTTCGGACCGAGATATCGGGTAGTGTCCGGACATTTGGCAGCCATATATTCATAAGTAACCTAAACATAGTTCTGGTATTTGAAGATTATACTGAGATGTACTAAATACGTACTATAAGTGCTACATCAATAAAAATATACCGTTGCATCTAATTTTAAAAGATTTGTCGACCTACTGTCCTCCTGTTCAAACTTGGTAAACACCAGGCCACTACTCAAGATATTTCACCATTTAAAGACTTTTGAGTAACCCTGTATAACTGCAGATTTCAAAAATATAAGGTTATTATTGAACAGTGCATATGTACAATGTATATACTGGAGACTTTATTATATGAATCGTCCAACTTGCAACAGTTTGATCCAATACTTACCCTTAAAACTTGTGTTACTTTATAGGGTTCTTAAAACTCAAAGACCTGAAATGGAACGAAACGCACTTCATTAATACTTGTGAAAAGCAAATTATTTTATTATATTGCATTAGGTTTGGATTATAATGATACACAGCTCTAGTAATAACCTCTTTAGTTGTTCTCCAATAGTGTCATGGTCCTCAAAAACATGCTGTATGACAGAATAGCTTTCACTGCCTAGAATTCAAAAAAATTTAAATTACATTTTAGACATATACCAAATTAGAAGAATATGCTATCTTCGAAATAGCTCATTATTTTGCCCTGATGCAGGGAAACCTTACGGTTGAGAGCTTTCCAGTACGAAAAGGGCATCGCAACAAATCACATGAACAAGCATGCATCTAAAACCATTACTTATAACATTGATGTGCACTAAGAAGTCCCGTTTTCCGGCTACAGAAAATCAGCTGTTCAGGAACTATAGAACATTGCATAACATGGATGTGACGTTAAGTACAAAATGCAAGTAGCAGTGGCTCTTTCAAATTTTATTCTCACCATTAGAATCTCAGAAAGATGAGGATCAAAGTAGCCTATGAAACTAAGAAACATTTCCACATTTTGTATTCTATAAATTTCAGTATGATGCTTTGTCTCTTGTCCTACATCATCAACTTTATTTTTGTTATGGGCGTTATATTAAAATTTTGCATAGGTGAATAGACAATTTATCTCTAATATCAAAAATATATAATTTATCATGCGACCATATTATAAGATATATTAAAAAAATGTTCCGTAAAGTTATCGAATAGTCATTTGATTCATAATCTATCATCGCCCAAAACATTGCGGCAGTTTTTATGAGCTTCGCATAGGTAATCAGTTTTTATTTCCACTTTTAATTATGAAGCCTTTTAAGCACGCTTCACAAAAACTGAAGCAACATTTAATTGGTGACGTAATCGAATAAGCCGTTATTATCAGGACCACTATGAAAATATTTTTTGAAATAAAAATGTTACGTACATTGCACATATATGGTGAGGGACAAGAAACTAAACGAATTGAAATTTTAATTATACCATCTTGTAAAAGAGATAATGTGCAATTTATTTTAATTTCAAATCAAGTGGTGATGATTGGCTTTGAATAAGAATAATATAAAACGGATCAATGTACGCACCGCCATTCCGGTTTCAAGGTTTAAATCCAAAATACCACCCATATTGAAAGCAACTTTAATTCTACTTTTTCCGAGCAGTATCAGTATATCTTTCTGGAATCTTGGAAAGTTGTACCAATCACAGGCATACACACTTTCTGCAACCTCTTCAGCCTAAACATCATAAATAATAATCATAGGAAAAGCCTACAGTTGTTTTTATCAAGTTTCACTTTTGGGTGTTTGTGCATACAGATTACTTACCTCTGATGTCAATTCCTGAGCTGGATAACAATAGCAAATGAAGAACACGAAAAATGTATAGACAGTAGATAGGACGAATTTTGACATTTCTTCTATAGAATCTCTGCAGCAAAATCGTTCAGTAAGTTTAATTGTATCAGACATGTGGAAAGACAGAAAATACATACAATCGTCAATTAAATAGACTTTTCAAAAACTTCTGTGTACCTGTAATAAATTACGAGGGATGTCTTTTAAGTTTTGCATATGGAAATAAAACAACACGGTAGGTAGTTTTAAATGACTTTATTGTTTTTAGAAGTATTCTCCACGAAGATATACACATCTGCATGCGCTAGAACCAATTTTCGAAGCACTAATTCCACTCGTTTGCTGGCAGATCCAAACCGGCAGTTTTGAATGCGTCAACTGCTTCTTCTGGTGACTGGAACCTTTGACTACCAAGTCTGTTTTTAATTTTCGGGAAAGTAAAGAAATCTTTATTACTTAGATCGGAACTATATGGAAGATAGTCCAATAATTCCACGTTTTCTTCCGTTAAATACTGCCTTGTTTTTTGGGCTGTGTGCGAGCTTGCATTGTCTTGGTGGAGGATGATTCTTCTTTCGGGGTTGATTTTTCGAAGCTCGGTAATGACTTTTGGCAAACAAATGGTGATATACCAATCCGCAGTAACAGTTCTTTGCTCGTTAAGAGGAATTGTTGCAATATGACCCGCTTTTGACACAAATGTCGCGATCTTTTTCGAAACACTTCGAGAACGGATGACTTTTGTTGTATGGCTGTACACATTTTTTGAGTTTCCGGAATTTAAACGGTACGCGTTTTTTGACACCAATTAACCCTGGCTGCTTTCTGCTCTTCAGTCAACAGGTGGGGTATCCAACGAGAAACGAATTTTCTTACTCCTAATTCTTCATGTACATTTTTTTGAATTGAGGTCTTTGAGATCTTCAAGGACGCCTCAATCTCGCGATATGTCACATGTCTATCTTCAATGATGAGTTTGCGCCCAGCATCGACGTTTTCCTGGGTGACTGCCGTTTTTGGTGCACCCAAAACTTAAAAGACATCCCTCGTATATCTGCAGCCTTTTGGCATATACTGACTAAGTGTGTGGTATTTATATATCCTCTGCTTGTAAGATGAATTAACTCAAGCGATACTTACGTCAAAAAAGTTAAGTAGATTTCTATAGATGATAATAGAACTATGACTCCAATATAGACGAACATCATTGTGGAGAAGGTGCTATTTGCAGTAGTCCTGAAACTAGTGGCTTTTCTGTCAGACTTTCAAAAATGTCGTTTTTTTCAAAGAATGTTGTACATTCGATTCAATTAATAATTTCAAGAACGGTACACATGTACCATATTTAACACGTTAACGACCAGCGCAACATTTTTTAATTTGGCTTCTTGACCAAGGAATTTTATTTCTCAAGGACCCAACCTACTAAACGCCACATTTAAATACATTACATAAGTTTCCCTATTAGTTCCATATGACTTGAAACATTACAGTTGACTGTGCCCCCATAGGAACACACAGTTAACGTGTTAAAATTTCTGTAACATTACTGTTTTTATGTTAACAAAAGCTTTTGAAGCAGACTTTTAAAACGACGTGTCTAACTATCCATATTCAGTAATAAATTATTAGCAATTATTAAATATTTAATTTTTCAAATTCAATAGAAAGACGGAGACTTGAAACAATGTCAATGAGACATCTAAGTCTATGTTGTGAAGATCGGGCGGTGTGCATGAGTTGGTATTTCTAGCCTAAGTTACCTGCGATTCTTACTATAGTAAAAACGTATGATGATTATTACATCTCTTTATTCTTTCTTGAATATCAGTTTCTCCTTTGACGTCAGTAAATAGGTTTTCCACCTCGTATCGGAGCAACTTGAACTGTATCCTGGTGAGGGAGTTCAACACCAAAATCAACACATCCATAGCAGTTTGAGATAACATAACTCCAGCAAGAGGGATATGCTCCCACATGAACATGGTCCAGAATGATAGATTTTCCGGGATATATGCCCTGAAAATGTTTTGCCAGATGAATTAAATATAACCGAATCATTCAAATGAATTCAGTTTTCAAGAAGAAAAAACCGCAGAAAAGACAAAAAAATCTCTATAAGCATACGAGGTCTGTAAATTAAGTGATGATACTGGCAACGTAGCGGTCGATCTGGTAACACTGGATGCGCCACGCTAGGAGGGGAGACAGGGGGATATGTGTTTCGCATTCAGTACAAGTTTGAATTCGCTCGAGTCCGTAGACATTTTTTGGCCGATCTATATAGCCAGGACATGTGCTGCAATATGTTCTTGACCGCTGGGCTTTAGTTACCATAGTTATAGCCCAATATTGCAACAAAGTATTGCTCGTCTAGACGCCCCATTATACATACTTCTTACTTAAAAAGCGTTGGCACTGTCTCCTGGCTCACCCTGTATTTAATGACTGCATGCTCCAGTCATGTTAGTGAATGAGAGATAATAAACTGTAAACTTGGAGAAACCTTTATTTTGTCATTCTT